CCTCCTTATCCACAAAGTATGGGTTCAACAGACTAACATGAAGGACCTTGTGGATTTTACACCATGAAGGGAGTTCAACTCTGTATGCAACTCTTCCAATCGTCTTCACAATGGGTAATGGTCCAATGTATTTTGGCGTCAATCTTGAGTCCTTGCCTCTTGTTGGTTTGTAAACATTTTTATCGGGAAGTTCAACCATTACCAAATCTCCAACATTGAATTTAATGAAACGACGCTTTAGATCTACAGCCTTTTTATACCCTTTTTGAGCTTTCTCAAGATACCTCCGAGCAATTTCAATATTTCATTTTCACTCTTGAGAAAAGTTCTTTGCTTTAGGGGACTTGGTACTTCGTTCGATATCCACTATATGAGGGAGTAGCAGTTGCTGGCCAGTAACAATCTCAAAAGGACTCTTATTGGTGGAAGAGCTCTTTTAGGCATTGAAGCAAATTTGAGCTGCATCCCAAAGTTTTACCCAATTTTTCTGCGAAGTAGAGATAAAGTGCCGAAGATATTCTTCTAGCATAGACTTGAAACACTCTTTCTGTCCATCAAATTGTGGGTGAAAACTAGAGCTCATGCTCAAAGTTGAACCAAGAAGTTTGAACAACTCAGTCCAAAATATGCCAGTGAAACTAGGATCTCGATCACTGACGATGTCCTTAGGCAGTCCCCAGTATTTGACAATATGTTTGAAGAAGAGTTGAGCTGTCTCTTCCACGGATACATACTTAGGCGCTGCAATGAAAGTTGCATATTTTGATAGATGGTCCACCACGACGATGATAGTGCCAAAATCCTTGTAGTCCATCGATACACTTTCGAATGGTCGGGTTGGGATGGAAAAGGGCTCCAACTGGCCCGCCTTTTTCTGATGATCTGCCTTATCTTGCTGACAAATAAGATAGGTTTTTACATAGGTTGTAATGTCATCCCGCATTTGAGGCCAATAGTATGCACGTTGCAGTAGTGCACAAGTACGTTCCTCTCTGGGATGCCCTGCCCAAATCGTGTCATGGCATTCTGTAATTAGTGATTTCCTTAAATCCCATCCTTAGGAATATATAGGCGATCTTCCTTTATCTTCACTAGTTCTCCATCGAGTCAGAACTGTCGAGTTTTACCCTGCTTGATGAGGTAAGCCAAATATTGAGTAGCCGGGTCCTTCTCCATAAGTGCCCGAATTTGTTCTCTAGTGTTTGTGGAGACGACGCTTCCTGAAAGAGCAGCTACGGAGCAAATGGCAGCCAAATCGGCCCGTCAACTAAGAGCATCAGCAACATGATTACTAGATGCTGGACAATACTCTAACATAAAATTGAACTCTGAAAGAAACTCCTGCCAACGAGCCTGCTTGCTTGATAGTTTTAGTTGAGACATGAAGTGACTAACTGCAGTATTATCTGTCTTCACAATAAATGGAGACCCAAGCAAATAGTGACGCCATCCTCTGAGATAATGGACTACTGCCAATAATTCATTTTCATGTGCTGAGTAACGACGTTCTGTTTGGTTTAACTTTCGGCTCTCATATGCTACCGAATGTCCTTCTTGCATTTAGACTCCACCAAGTGCAAAATCTGAAGCATCTGTATGAATTTCAAATGGTTTAGTCATATTCAGTGAGGCTAAAACTGGGTTCATTCGCATGGACTTCTTCAACCTTTCAAAAGTAGTTTGGCATTAGGTTGACCGATCCCAATCCTTATCCTTCTTTATCAATTTGGTAAGTGGCAGTGCAATTCCTGAGTAGCTCTTCACAAATCTTCGATAGTAATTGCATAACCCAAGAAATGAATGTACACCATGTACAATTTTTGGTGGTTACCAATCTTTGATGGCTATAACTTTCTTCAAATCCAAGCGAATTTTACCTTGTTCAATGATATGACCCAAGAAACCAATAGATGTCTGAGCAAACGAGCATTTAGACGGCTTGGCATAGAGTCCATTCTCCCATAGCCGATTAAAAAATTGCCTCATATGTTGGACATGTTCCTCCAATGTCTCGCTGTAAATTCCTATGTCATCCAAGTACACCACGACAAAATCATCTACGAACCCGTGAAGTACCTGATTCATCATAATACAAAATGTTGCTGGAGCGTTTGTCAAACCAAAAGGCATCACTTTAAATTCAAAGGCTCCATATCTGGTTACCACCATAGTCTTTGCTTGTTTCCCTCCTTAATCCGAACTTGCCAGTATCTGGACCTAAGATCAATTTTTTGTATAATACTTCGCCCGACTCAGTCGATCAAAGTAATCCGCAACTAGTGGGATATGATAGCTATTCTTTACAGTAATCTTGTTCAAAGCTCGATAGTTATTCACAAAATGTTTCTTTCAATTTTAAAACCCACCGCAAGTGTACGGTTCGTTAACAAGTAGTAAAATGGACTATGACTCCAAGTATCGTTCCCACGAGGATTGAATTAGCTCTAATTAGACTAATGTGACCTTAACCGAATCTAATTGAATGAAAATTTGATTTAAATGTGAAAATCCCTAATTGTGGGAGAAATCCCCAATTTGAAACCCTAATTTTTAAAGAAAACCCTATTTCGAAATTGAAAACCCTAATTTCGAAATTTCACTAATTTAATGACTCAAAAACTCAATTAAAATGTAAATACGCAATTTTTGGAAGTTAATGTATAGAAATAAATTGAAATGCAATCATTAGNTTCGAGCCTTCGCTTCTTCCATCTTTGCCTCTTTCAATGGGACATCATCCTTTTCAGCAACCCATGCGACAGTGTGTTGAATCAATGTAAAAATGTCCCAACTACATCTTCAACCTCTTCAGAGTCGGTCTCACTATGACAATTAGCTTGCAAGGCCTCTTGCTTTGAACTTGACCTGCCACTTACTAGCTGACAATATACATTCACCATCCGCTTCTGAGGACACTCTGACACCTGATGAGGTCCTTCGCATAAAAGGCACTTCAATTTAGGAGTGGCATCAGTTTGGCCTTCCATTGCTTTTCCTTTGTTCTAGTTGTTACTGTTGCTGCCGTTAAAATTTTCTTGACGACTATTATGATAGTTTCCCCAAAAGCCACGAGTGCTTTGATAAGCTCCTTCTTTATTCTGGGAGTAACACTCTCCCCCATTTGGGTTCGAGTTGTGTCTGTTGGGTCTATTACCACCTCCAATTTCTTGATTACTCCCCGAAGGTTGATCTTTTCTAGATTTTGTTTGGTAGTCGCTCAAGCATTCGACGGCTCCCATGGTCGTGCTGAAATCAGTAACTTTCTATCTTTGAAGTTTCGTGCGTGTCCACAGTTTCATCCCTTCCATAAAGGTGAAGAGCTTATCCTTTTTCGACATATCTCGAATATTCAGCATATGCCATGAAAACGATTTCATATACTCCCTGATAAAGCTTGTGTGTTTCAGGTCTCGAAGTGCCCGTCGAGCCTGATACTCGACATTTTTTGGAAAAAATTACGATCTGATCACTTCCTTGAGGAGATCCCAAGAATCTATTCGAACTCTGTTGGCTTGTATGTCAGCATATTTGGTTTGCCACCATAGTTTTACATCTCTACCCAAATACATGGTAGCTGTGGTTACCTTTCTAGCTTCGTCTTCGATCGAAGCTGTGAGAAAGTACTGTTCCATGTCAAACAAGAAGTTTTTGACTTCTTTAGCATCACGTGCCCCTCCGTAGGTACACGTTTCAGGAATTCTGAGTCTAGGAGCATATTAAGGTACGGGAGCTTTTCCATTGCCCGTCGCACGTTGTAATACCTGCAATTGAGCTCTCAATAATTTCATTTCATCCTGCAAATCAAGAATGATTGCAGTAGCTTCAGTTATTACTGCGCATCTCGACTTTTTCCTCGAGACCGTCCAAGGCATAGCACAACTTAGTAGTTGTCTCATCAAGCGCATCCACGCGCTGTTTAGTAGTACTTTTCTTTTGAGGCTCTTCCACTTCAATAGTGTGGGATGTAATTGGATCCATAGCTTTCTTATCGAGGGTCGTGAGCCGCAGCTCTGATACCAACTTTCATGGGGTGCCTTTCTTCTTGGCACAGAAAGGGACATCGTGCGGCAGTAGTCTGCTCCACTAGACTACCTTTGCCTTTGTTCAGTCGCGTTGGGACGAAAGAAAATTTGATTACAATTTTGTAGAAAGCTTACAATAGAGAATTTGAATACATTGAAAGTAAATTGAACATTAATTGATGAAAACTGAACATTATAATTGACGAAAGCAGAAAATCACAATTGCTGGTGAAGGGGGCAGACACCAGTGAGCTTGAAAGATTTTTAGATGACTAATACCCCATATAATAGCATTCTGAACAAAAACCTAAGTGATAGGAGTAGACGTTTAAAAAATGAGGAATCATGCTAAACGTTTACTAATATCAGAGTTATTTTACAACTGAAATAACTATTACAATGAAAAGAAAATTACAACTCAAACTTGAAGTAATATTTACAATGTGCGGTCGAAATTGGACAAACTGCGGTTGCGATAGTGTCAAGGAACTAAGTAAAGCTACGGTCCTTGACACCATAGGTCGCATTATCCCCTCAAGGGGGTCCAATATCGTCCTATCTATTCCTCTTATGTACCGAAAGTTGATTAATCTATTGAATACAGCGAAAAGAAATAAATTAGTAAATGGTATTCAAGTGTGTAGAAGAGCTGCAAGCTTGAATCATATTCTCTTTCCAAACGACAGCCTGATTTTCTGTTAAGCAAATGTGGAAACTACTACTCGACTACAAGCTCTCCTTAGTAGCTATGAAGATGCATTGGGTCAATAGTTGAATAGAGATAAAACCTCTATGGTCTTTAGTGCAAATGTAAAGCCAAACAAGAAGCAAGAAATTATGGCTCTTTGGAATGCTTCTGAAATACAGAAATATTAAATGTATCTGGGATTACCACATATGATCGGTAGATCCAGAAATCGAGCTTTCTCTGAAATAAAACACAAGGTTTGGTTGAAATTACAAAGTTAGAAGAGTGGTATGTTCTCCCAAGGGGGAAGAGAAATCCTCCTCAAATCAGTGGCTTTAGCAATCCCCTCCTATGCTATGAGTTGCTTGAAACTTTCCTCCACATTATGCACTGAAATTGAAAGGATGATGAGTAGATTTTGGTGGGACCAAAGAAAGGAGGAACGAAAAATTCATTGGCAATCCTGGAATACCATGTGTACATTGAAATCCATGGGGGGTATGGGCTTCAAGGAGCTGGGAATCTTCAACATACCTATGCTTAGAAAATAGGCTTGGAGGCTATTACAGCACATAGACAGTTTAGGTCACAAAATATTCTAAGCTCGTTACTTCCCTAAAGTTAACATTCTTAAAGCATCTATTAGAAGTAACCCCTCTTATGCTTGGTGTGGAATCTGGAAGGCTAAAAATCTACTGATACAAGGGAGAAGATGGGTTGTTGGTGATGGTCACACTATACACATTCTAAATGATAACTGGATCCCGGGAGTGAAAAATCTAAGCAGGGACTTGGTAAATGATTTACAACATCACAATCAACAACTTGAAAGTCCAGTGGCTTCATTGATTGATCTGAACTTGAAGTGGTGGAACCTGACTAAACTTAGGGCTCTATTCAATCCAAAAATTGTGGAGGCAATACTGAAATTACATCCAAGCCCTTTGGGAGAAAAAGATTTCTGGTTATGGGAACATGAAAAAATCGGACTTTATTTTGTTAGTAGTGCATATAGATTCTTCAAGAATTGTCTAACTCCAGACCGTGGAAACTCTTCAAATACAACTAAGAAAAAAAAATGGGATACTATATGGCGTCTATAGATACCCCAAAAAGTAATAATTTTTGCTTGGAGAGCTTGTAAAGAAAGCTTGCCCTCGAAACAAAATCTGATTTGAAGAGGAATCCCTATTGCCACTCAATGTTGTTTTTGCGACTACCAGGTAGAAGACCTAGGCCATGTTCTGCTCAATTGCCCTTCTACTTGCCATCTCCTAACCAGACAGTTCCCAGCACTACAGAATAAGGATCACCTGGGAGATTTCATGCAAGTAGCTATGGATATAATGGCAAAAGACTCAAAGGATGCTCAATCGAAATTTTTACTCATCACTTGGGGTTTTTGGTATCACCGAAACAAAATGTTCCATGACCAGCTAAACCTTCCACCACAACAAGTAATTGCTACCACCTTAGCCAAAAAATCCAATTCTGAATTAGGTCCACCCCTCAACAGTATTCCTGGATCCCTTCTCCACAAATATAGGTGGTCCGCACCACCCAAGAAAGCATTGAAACTCAATATTTATGGTGCACTATTCTTNTTGACCTTCCTTCTTCAATTGCTGTCATCGTCGTGCATTTTCTAATTTCTGTTGGTGCTTCAGTCTTGCTCGGTCTTGGGCCTCTAGTATGGATTGCTTGATGAAGGGGCTTGGCTTTTTCGGTGCTTCCCCAGGTTGAATTTGTATGCCTGCTGCTCGACATATTCCACTTATCAGACTAGGAAAAATCAGAGAGTAGTGCCTATCACCCCAAGTGCCTGTACCCTGGATTTGGTTGTAGATGTGTGTGGCTAGATCAATCTTGTTTCCTCTAACCAAATGGTATATGAATCCGGCCTTTGGATTTGTAAATGTTATTCTGTGGGATATAGGCTCGATGTTGTGGCACATGAATAACCATAAAATTGCTATGGATGGCGTGAGATCTATCTGATACCAATCTGCTGTAGGTAGAGGCCAAGCGTTTTCACGTCCCAACAAAATTTTAGCAACCTCATTCCAGTTGAAGTCTTCTGGGATAGGGACGACATTATTCCAGGATAAATGATAGTAGTCATGAATTACCTCTGGTGAGAACATAATCCACTTGCCCCTAACCTATGTCTGATGTAAGTGTTCCGATCCGGGAGTATCGATTTCTGTGTTGAAATTTGCATAAAACTCCTTTGCTAGATTCTCATACACCGGATGAGGTCTTTCTATCACCTTTTCCCAGCCACAGTTGTGAATTAGATATGCTATTTCGAAGTTGGGAAAATCTTCCAGCTTAACTGGCCTCTCGGGAATGATTGCCCAATCACGCACAACATTGGCGTATCGGCTTGCTGTATCTGATGAAAGGAATCTTCTAACATCTCCTTCGGATTCTCTTGTTCGGGCTGTTCCAGATGAGGAGCCGACTTTCTCTTTTCCCTTTGAAGTTCTTTTAGGAGGCATCCTGCAAAAGGAAGTACACAATATCAATCACTTGGTGTAGGAATAACAGGCATTAATAATCTTTGAATTCATAATCCCCCAAACTTTCTTCAACATGCACATGTACGTGTGCTTATGCAATTTTTCAAAACATGAATCACCAATATAACTCTAGCATTGCATAAGTATGGAAAACTCAAAATTATGGCTCGAACATGCATTTTTAGAAAATTTGACCCATGACCAAGTGACCAACTTCGGCCCCGGGCATCACCGAGAAATATCAAAATTTTCCTGGGCAAGTTTTGGACATTGAAAGTACTCAATGACATCTAGCATATATCCAAATTTCACCTTAATCGGAGGTCGTTTGCATAAGAAAACATAGGGACGAAGGTAGTGACGTGAGTGAATATGATTAGCCATGAAGTGCCTTTGTGAATTCAAATGTTGAGGTAGCGTTTTTTCAAATGAAATTTCACATGATTGTTCGGCCAATAAGCTACACAATAACGATGTAAACTATCGCATAAGTGAAAAGTCCAAGAATTCAAAACATTCGTCAATGTGGCATTTCGTCGAACATGTGGTGTGCAATGTGAATTTCTTCCTATTTCTTCTAAAACACTACCATGAAGTTTTCCCCAATTCTCAACCTCATATCAATCTACCTTATACCTTCTAACTAATTCCAACACATTGAATGAAAAATGTGAAAAAGAAGCTCGAAATTATGGGATTAGAGGAACATACCTTGCTTGGCCAAATACTTGTTAATTTAGATGTGGCACCTCAATGTAGAATCCAATCCAATTTAATGAAGAGTGTGTGAAATGGGTGTAAGTGTGTGGTATGCAAATGTGAAGTGTGAAAACGAGTGCAAGTGAAGAGGATGGGTGCTCGTGTGGAAGTGATTTCGTGTGTGAGTGAAAGGGGAGGGAGTGTTGAATGAGGGGGGGAATGGGCGTGGTCACTAGTTAAAACCCGTGACCATAGGTCGCATAGTGCTGCACTATGCGGTCGCATAGTGCAACTAATTTTCCCCTTTGCTCTTTCGGTTACAGTCTATGCGACCACATAGACCGTTGGTCTATGCGGCCGCATAGACCAAAATAGGTTTATGAATTTTTTTTTTTTTTTAAATATGACTTAAAATTTAAACTCCCCCAAAATCGGTTTTTCACTTAAAAATTTGACTCGCCTCGCTATATTCCTGGAAAAATTGAAATATTTGACTCGAAAAGAGGAATATGCTTATCGAAAACTTGGCACCAAAATCGATTTTTCATAAATGTTGTCCCGCATTCTGAAAACTTAACCAAAACGAACATCTTCGCACATCGGAATGCGTGACACACGCTCGAACACCCAAACACTTCATTTAGCACCCATTCATGCAACATTAAACGTGTAGTGCCTAGGCTATCATGCAAAATATGATCGATGACCTACGAAATAAACTAAACTTAAACAAATTCCTAAACTAATGCAATGCAATAAAATAAATTTAAGGATACAGTGGGTTGCCTCCCACTCAGCGCTAGGTTATAGTCGATAGCTCGACTTTATCATATTGTGTCATTCTGGCGATCTAAGATGGATGGTAGACTTGTCCTTTAAAAAATCACCGCCCCAATAGTGCTTCAAACGCTGTCCATTAACTTTGAATGTCCCCTTGCTGTCGTGAGTGATCTCAACCGCTCCATGTGGAAACGCTTGTGCAATGGTATATGGATGACCAGACCATCTCGATCTCAATTTTTCTGGAAACAGCTTAAGCCTGGAGTTGTAGAGTAGCACTTTTTGCCCCACCTAGAAATCACGCCTCTGAATATGCATGTCATGCCATTTCTTGGTGCGCTCTTTGTAGATCTTTGAGTTCTCATAGGCTTCCATTCTGAGCTCATCCAGTTCATTCAGTTGTAACAGCCGTTTTTCACCCGCAGCCTCCAAATCCAAGTTCAATTTCTTCATTGCCCAGTAAGCATGATGTTCGATCTCAAGAGGTAGATGGCATGCCTTCTCGAAAACCAGTCAATATGGAGACATTCCTATAGGAGTCTTGAATGCAGTCCTGTAGGCCCACAAGGCATCATCCAGTTTCTTTGACCAATCCTTTCATGATGAGTTAACTGTGACTTCGAGTATTCGCTTCAATTGCCTATTGGATACTTCGACATGTCCGCTGGTTTGGGGATGGTATGCGGTGGCTATACGGTGCTTAAACGCCATATTTCACTAACAACTGCTCGAACTGACGATTACAAAAATGTGTGCCCCCGTCACTGATTATGGCTCTTGGTGTTCCAAACCGGGTAAAAATGTTCTTCTTTAAAAACTCAATCACCACTTTCCCATCATTAGTAGGTAGTGCAACAGCCTCGACCCACTTCGATACATAAT